TGAAATGGAAAAGACAGGAAAAGCAGGTAATAAATAAATATTGACCAGTCAGTCAACTTATTTTCCAGAAAAGAACTGGAACAAATAATCAAACAAAATGTTGGTAGTTATATAGAACATAACAAGGAGGTAAATAGCAGCAACATGATATGAACAACTCCTGTCAAACTGTTCTCTCTTTTACTTTCTTTTTTCCCCCTGTGGCAAAGTAGCAAGTATTGTAGAGAGAAGATGTAAATTTGCTATATCTTCATTTTATAAAGTCATTTGATGTTAATTATTTTACATAGACCTTGTAAATAGCTAGCATGTATCATACCAGGCTTTGCTGGAGTCTAATAACCATCGGTACTGGGTATTAATAATGACTTAGACTATGCAATGAAAATGCAAGCTTAAAAGTGAACATGATCTTAACAAACTGGAAAATTAGCACAACAAAATACAATACCATCATTTAAGAACATATGTGAAGTTCCACAGGTAGAAGCAACTGTGTTCACAAATACATGCTGGGAAACAGCACATCAGATGGCAGTTGTAGTAAAATATCCAGAAATTAAAGTGCTACAGTAAATGACTTCAGTTGAGAGTCAGATGAGGAAAATGTTAAAATGGATATACTTGTAATGAGGTATAGTATATATCTTAATATAGTATAAAGCAGCAGCTGAAGAAGTTACCATTTGAAACGCTCTAACATAAACTGCTTGACTGCCACTGTAGAAAGCAGCAGGTCTCCCTGTTCCACAACCCTTAGAGCCATACAGAAGGCTCAGATACCATAGGTTATTTCAAATGACAATAAACAACTATGGTTAGGCAACTGAATTGATGACCAGGTGCTTACATGAAAACTCTAAGTCACTGTAGTCAAGGGTGATTATCCAATACAGAAAGCAGAGTAAATAGTAAGTTTGTTTAGACAGAATTACACTTCAGGTGCTATTTTAAGTGTACGGAGGTGTCTAAGAGACAGAATCATAGAATAGTTGGAAAAGACCTTCAAGATCATCAAGTCCAACCATAAGTCTTCAACATCATGTTTGCTAAACCATGTCCCTAAGTGCCTTATCTATACATTTCTTGAACACTGCCAGGGACAGTATAGCATTTTTTTCTAATATCTAAATGGAACCTCCCCTGGCACAACTTGAGGCAGTTTCCTCCTTCCTATCAGCGTTTTGGAGAAAAGATCAAGCCCCACTCCCTCCCCTACAACGTCCTTTCAGGTAGTTGTAAAGGGCAATAAAGTATCCCCTGAGCCTCCTCTTCTCTAAACTAAATAACCCCAGCTCCCTCAGCTTCTCCTCATAAAGTTTGCGCTCCTCATTTGGATCCCATTTGGCCTCATAGACTTGTGAGTGCTCAAGTGTAGTAGTAGGTCACTGACTACTTCCTCATGAAAAGTTATTTTTATGGTGGTTACAAATATGGTGGTTACACAGGCACTAGACCATGTCCTCGCTTTCCCCAGTCGTCCCAGGGATTTGAATAACACACAGTTCCTTCATAAGGCACCAGCACCTACTAAACCCAGTTCCAGATGCCCCATGAGACAGAGCAGGGAACAGGCATAGCCCAAAAATCTGAATCCTTAGCATATCATACGGCCAAAAGGACCTGTGATCTCACTGGAGCCATCCTGCGTCACCTGTGACTTCGCACCTGTGTGGCAGCTGCAGTTAGCCTTTGCTCACTTTGCCCACATCCACGTTCAGGTGACAGGCAAGGCACCGAGGGCCCCTCAGGGCTGCCCTTCGGCATCTGGGCCATTGCGTTGCAGCCAGCAGCAGTTCAGCTTGGCTGAAGCAGTGGCTGCAGACCTCGCTCCGGCACTGTGCTGCAGACAGGGTTCAAGGAGAGAGTGACTGGGCACTGGAGAGCCTCGAAGATTCACAGAATGCTCCTCACTCTGCAGCTAAGGCTTTTGCCCTGACCTGAGCCACTCCGAGTGTGATGGGTAGTGTAAAGGGGGCCTGGGCTTCTGGCGGGGCTTGGTGCTGCCAGCTCTTCTGCTGCCATAGTTTCAGGGCCCATCCCTCCCTCCTTCGGCAGGGAAAGCCAAACATTTCCCTTCCCCTCATTGGAGGCGCAGACAATTTGCGCAGGAGCCCCACTTGCCCAGCGGAAGCCTTCCCAGAGGTGCCTGGCACAGCAGGGCTGCAGGGGACCTTTTGCCCAGTCACCTTGTCAACTGGGCTCCTGGGGATTTTCTCAGCCTTGATTAAGAAAATTGGGCAGATTGAGATCTCCAGCTGGGCAGTTTCTCTGCTACTTCTTTCTCCTGCACCATCTGGCAGTGGTTGGCCACCAATGCAGAGCACCCACTCTGCAGGTGGCCATTTGATAACATCCTCTGCCAGGTGCGAGGACATGATGAGGTGCAGGAATACCACGTTAAAGGGTGCCAGCCCTCTCTGGGGCAGCCCAATCCCAGGGGAGATATCCAGCACAGCTGGAGGCTGCATGCAGCATCAAGGAGGCAGCACAGGCTGCAATGATCATCCACATGCCAGCACGTGAGACCCTCTGCACCTCTGCATGACCGTGGCCCCTCAGGATGATGAGAGGGCACGAAGCAGGTCCCTCACGTGGGACCATGGCAGCCAGTGTCCAGCTCAGCTCTGGAGGGGCATGACTCCTTTCCTCTGCAGTGTCGGCGCAGAGCAACGAGGCTTGGGTGACCACCATCACCAGTGACATGAAAGCTCCTACCTTTAAGTAGGGATGCCAAGCTTTTTGGGGAGGACTCAGTGGAAACACTAGCAAGGAGGACAGGAAAACTAGCACTGCTCCAGCCAAAGGCACTGAGGAGCAGATGATGACAGCAGAGCTCCTGCAACCGTCCTGCACGCAGGGACTGAGAGCACACCAAACCCTCACAGGAGGCCCAGTGCTTGCCCTTGGCCAGTGGCACAAATTCATGCAGAGTCTTGCCAAGTCATGTTGTTGGGAAAAATAAAGTCCCACAACTGCCCATCAGCTTCATTTTGTCATGCAAGGAGAGGGGCTGTGTGGAGAGCCAGGCCTTGCTCTGGGGCAGCACAGGCTCTTGCACTTCTTTACTGGCTGAGATGCCCAGAGAGAGTGCTGGGTAGAGGAACACAGGCACGAGGGGACTCTGCCCAGCAGTCAGTCATGGTGCCAGCACAGCCGTGTGCCAAAGCTGTCTCCATGCAGCCATCAGCAGAGTGCAGCTCCATGGGGAAAAGACGAGGAAAAACAGGCACCAGGTCCTGTGCCGGCAGGGCCACTGTAAATGCCACACTCCCCCTGCTCGGCTTTGCTGACATTCAGGAACCAACCGCAACCTGGCTGTGGCTCTGGCCAGTGCTAACCAGATCTGACTCGCTCACACTAAAGGCTGCCTGTTTCAGTTCTGCTTCTCTCTGAGATTATTTCAAATCCCTAATGACATCACAGCACTAATGCTTTGCTTCCTCCCTTTCTTTTCCTCTTTTTCACTTTTCTTTTTCTTCCAGTTTTCTTTTTAATACCTTGTACTTTGGGGGGGGTGAGGGGAGGGTTGGCTTTGCGCAAATGTGTCATTTACAATTTTTAATTCAATTTTCCAGAACATTCAGACAATTAATTACTTATTTTTCAATGCAGTCCTTTCTATCTCTTGTGGTGCTAGGATTCAGCCTCAGGAAAGGCCTTGAAAATCTTTCAGAGATGTGCAGCAAGAATCTCACCTCTCATCCTAGCTAGCCCAGCAGTGGAAGTGAGGGGCAGGCCATTAGAGCATCCCCAGGTGCCCCGGAGGAAGCAAGGTCGTGCAGGTCTGCAAGCAGATACTGAGGAGACCAGGGCTATTCCGCAGAGGGTCTTCCAGTGCTCCAGATGAAGGGCTGGCCCCATAGCTGTGGCCATGTAGTGGTCGTGCTGTCATTGCATGTCACAGGAGTCTGTTGAAGGCCCTTGGCTTGAGAGAACAGCTCCAAAAGCTTGTCCTGACACCTCAGAGACAGCACAGGGCACTGCCAGCAGGGCCAGCGTGTGAGAACAAAGAACTCAGCATGTATATAAAAGTGTTTGGGAAAATCTCCTTCTGCACATCTCCTCCATGCACAGAGGGAGATCCCAAGGGATTTCCAAAGTGATGAGGCAGATCTGCCCTTGAGGGAAAACTGGAGCAGCTTCAGCAATGCACAGTGTGCCGCTAGTGTTCAGAGACATCCAGCCAAACTTGAAGGGGCTCTCAGCCTTATTCACAGAATCAGGGAATCGTTACGATTGGAAAAAACCTTCAAAATCATCAAGTATACCACAGTACCATGCCTACTAAACCATGTGTATAGATGTGTGACTTACTTGTCTACATTCTTCTTGAAGACTGCCAGGGATGGAGACTCCACCACAACCCTCTGAGCTCTGCCATTCAGCTACTTCTCAGTCCAGCTCACTGTTCACTCATCTAGCCCATACTTCCTCAGCTTAACAATGAGGACATCATGGGAGATGGTGTCAAAAGCCTTACTGAAGTCAGAGGGCATCCACTGCTTCCCCCTCATCTACCAAAACACTCATCCCATCATAGAAGGCCATCAGATTGGTTAAGCATGATTTTCCTCTTGAGGAGGATCTGCATGCAAGGTTAACTGGCCTGTAGTTGCCTGGGTCCCACCTCCTGGCCTGTTTTGAAGACTGGAGTGACACTGGCTTTCCCGGTCTGCTCAGGCACCTCTCCTGCTCAAAAACCTTTTCCCTGACTGGGAATCGAACCCGGGCTGTGGCGGTGAGAGCGCCGAATCCTAACCACTAGACCATCAGGGAGGTCTTAAGCTCTGCTTTGGGTGCTTTCTCAATAACACTCATTTCATACAATCATAGAAACAACATAATGGTTGGAAAAGACCTTCAAGATCAGCAAGACCAACCATAAGCCCTTCAACACCCGGCGGCCTGCTAAACCATGTCCCTAAGCACCTCATCTACACACTTCTTGAGCACTACCAGAGACAGTGACTCCACCACTTCCCTGGGTAGCCTGTTCCAAGGCTTCATCGCTCTTTCCATGAAGAAATTTTTCCTAATATCTAACCTGACTCTCCCCTGGTGCAACTTGAGGCCATTTCTTCTTTTCTTATTTTTGGTAGTTATTTTGGAGAAGAGATTGACCCCTGCCTAATTACAACCTCCTTTCAGATAGTTGTAGAGAGCAATCAGGTCTCCCCTGAACTTTCTCTTCTCCAAAGTAAACAATCCCAGCTGCCTCAGCTGCTCTGTATAGGTCTGTGCTCCAGCACTTTCACCAGCTTCGTTGCCCTTCTTTGGACATGCTCCAGCACCTCAGTGTCTTTCTTGCAGTGAGGCAGCCAAAGCTGAACACAGTATTGGAGGTGCGGCTTCACCAGTAGAGAAGTAGAGGAGGATGATTGCTTCCTTAGTCCTGCTGGCTACACTGTTCCGGACACAAGCCAGGAGGCTGTTGGCCTTCTGGGCCACCTAGGCACACTGCTGGCTCATGTTCAGCTGGCTGTCAACAAAGATCCTTCTCTGTCACACAGCACTCCAGACACACTGCCCCAAGCCTGCAGCCTGCATGGGGTTGTGACCAAAATGCAGATCCAAATAAGTAGGGCAGATTTGATACCAAGGAGACACTTGGAATCTTGGAGCTGCAACTATGCTAATCACAGAATAATCACAGAGTAATTAAGGTTGGAAAGGATGTTTGGAGATCATCTATTCCAACCCACCTGCATAAACAGGATCCCCTAGAGAACAATGCAGGGGATCGCATCCAGGTGCATTCTGAGTATCTCCATAAAAGGAGACTCTGCAACCTCTTGCAGTGCTCTGTCACTCTCATAGTAATTTTCCTCAAACTCAGGTGGAATTTCCTGTTCTTCTTTTTGTGCCTATTGCCTCTTGACTTAACAGTGGCCACCACTGGAAGGTTTCTGACCAAATCCTCTTGACATCCTCCCTTAACATATTTGTAATACACTGATAATCTACATTCTCCCGTCACTCCACCTTCTCTTTTCCAGGCTAAACGGGTCCAGCTCTCTCAGGCTCTCCTCATAGCAGAGATACTCCAGTTCCCTATGTTGGGCTCTCTCCAGCAACTCTGTGTCTCACTTGTACTGGGAAATCCAGCACTGGACACAGCACTTCGGATGTGGCATCACCAGGACTGAGTAGAGGGAGAGGATCATTTCCCTTTAGCTGCAGGCAACTTTCTTCCTAATGCTCCTCAGGAGCATTTGGCCTTCTTTGTCTCAAGGACATATTGGTGCCTCATGGTTAACTTCTTGTCAAACAGGAATCCCAAATCTCCCTCCAGAGAGCTGATTTCCAGCAGGTCAACCCCTAATCTGTACTGGTGCCTGAGATTACTCTTCCCCAGGTGCAGGACTCTGCACTTGCCTTTGTTGAACTTTACGCGGTTAATTTCCACCCAACTCTCCAGCCTGTCCAGGACCCTCTAAATAGTAGCACAGCCCTATGGGTTATCAGCCTCTCAGTCCTGCATCACCAGCACTCTTGCTAAGGGTGCACTCTGTCCCTTCATCCAGGTCACTGATGGATAATGAACAGGGTGGAATCCAGTACTACCCCTGGGGGACATCTCTAGCTACAGGACTTTACCTGGGCTCTCTACCTCTTCACCACTGATCACAACCCTCTGAGCTCTGCCATTCAGCTACTTCTCAGTCCAGCTCACTGTCCACACTTCCTCAGCTTAACAATGAGGACATCATGGGAGATGGTGTCAAAAGCCTTACTGAAGTCAGAGGGCATCCACTGCTTCCCCCTCATCTACCAAAACATTCATCCCATCATAGAAGGCCATCAGATTGGTTAAGCATGATTTTCCTCTTGGGGAATCTGTGCTGACTATTCCTGATCATCTCCTTGTCATCTGCATGCAAGGTTAACTGGCCTGTAGTTGCCTGGGTCCCACCTCCTGGCCTGTTTTGAAGACTGGAGTGACACTGGCTTTCCCGGTCTGCTCAGGCACCTCTCCTGCTCAAAAACCTTTTCCCTGACCGGGAATCGAACCCGGGCTGCGGCGGTGAGAGCGCCGAATCCTAACCACTAGACCATCAGGGAGGTCTTAAGCTCTGCTTTGGGTGCTTTCTCAATAACACTCATTTCATACAATCATAGAAACATCATAATGGTTGGAAAAGACCTTGAAGATCAGCAAGACCAACCATAAGCCCTTCAACACTCTGCCTACTAAACCATGTCCCTAAGCACCTCATCTACACACTTCTTGAACACTACCAGAGGCAGTGATCCTTTTCTGTCACACAGGTCTCCAGACACTCTGCTCCAAGCCTACAAATGCTCTACAAATTTGCTGAGAGTGCACTCAATCCTCTCATTCAGATCATCAATAAAGATATTTAAAAGGATCGGATGCAACACAGACCCCTGAATAACACTACTCGTGACTAGTCACCAGCTGGATTTAACTCTATTTGCCACCTTTCTCTGGGCCTGGCTATGGACCAGTCAGAGCACTCCAGGGCATTTCAGTTGACACTAAACACCTGTGCTATTATTTACTTTTAACATTAGACTTAAGAGTGAACTGAATATATCTTCTTGGCTGAATTAACCTAACTGTGTGTAGAAACAAGGTTCGATGTCTATGTGCTGGAGACCACTGACAGAGCCCTGAGTACAGCACCAGCCCTCCCTGTTCCTGCCCAGTCCCAGAGTCCCTGTCTTCCATTTCATCCCAGAATGGGGACTTTTGGCCAACTCTGATGCTCTTATTGAGACACTTTACAAATTTTATTCAAACAAAGGTTACTATCTTTAGTGCAAGATTAACCAGAGAAAATTAAATAGGTGATAGCACTTAACATGATATAATGGTCCCTTCTGTCTTAAATTTTATGAATTTGTTTCACATCATATTTTCTTTAGTAGTTACTGTGTTGCTGCTCACAATAGTCCTTGAAAAAAAAAAAAAAAAAAAAGGATAATAGGACTGAATGTAGAAAGCTTCAGCAAAATACATTTCAGCAAAGTCATAGTGACTATACAGAAGAATTTTGGGAAGCAGTGTTAGTAAAAGAGGCCTTAGCATAATGATGTTCTCCATGATGTTCTTCAGAAACTAGAGGTAATGGCCACAAACTGAAGCACCAAAAGTTCCACAGGAACTTAAGGAAAAAAATTTTAACAGTGAGGGTGACAAAGCGCTGGAACAGGCTGCCCAGCGAGGTTGTGGAGTCTTTTTCTCTGGAGATCTTCAAAACCTGCTTGGATGCAGTCCTGTGCCACGTGC